CGACCAGAGATACACATCCATGCCCTGGGTCCTGATTACTAGTTCATCTCAAGGAGGCCAAGGCCATCCCCTAGAGATGACTCTTATGGAAGGTGGGGTGCCAGATTAATATTTATGCCTCTGGTCCCCTGGAAACTCCCACTTGCCCAGCAGCCAGGTGACTGGGGCACCATGCAAGTTTCCTGACAACCTGAGCATCTTCTTAGTCTACTTGGGAAGTCCTGCCCCAGCAAGAAGCCCGTGTCCTGTGTCCAAATTCAGGTCTCACCATAACCCTCCCCCATTCGTACTGCCAACAGATAAAGGCAAACTTTACATTAGAAAAGGACCATTCTAGTTCCTCTCCCAACCACCTCCCAGCCTCAAGACGGTACATCTCACCCTTTCTAAATGCCATCCGGAACCAGGACTCCTTTTGTCATGCCATGCCCGAATCTTATAAAATCTGCCGAGATCTGGGAGCTCAATCTATGGTGAGAAATAACAAGGCTTGAGTGGACAGAACCAAGTGAAATGTGTTTATCCTCAGAGCTGACCCCTTGCCAGGAGGGCACCCACTTTGGGCAGATTCTTCAGCATCAAGGGTGGGTTTGCTTCAAACCACCCTCACATCCCCTGTCTTCGATTGCCCCTTGTAACCAGCAGCACATGAGGGCGAGACAGCCATGTAGAGCTAGGGTTCAGTCTGGGCTGGCAAAGCTGAGCAAAAATAACTGACCCACAGTAGGATCCAGACTAAAGCAAATCTTCCAAGCTATAAACTTTCTGTTACAAAATCCATATGGCAGCCCTGCAAATTGGCACAGGCCCACGGCCCCAGGACTCCGCCGGGCACTGAAACAGACAAAAAGATCAATACAGCAGTCGTGCCCTTTCCCTAGGGGTTCAAAGTCTAGCCGGGAAGACAAATACATAAAGAGCAATGAACTGAGGATGTGTAATAGACGGGCCGACAGGGTGCTCTGAGAAGAGAGCTGCAAATCACAAATTATTCTTACCTAAAGGTCAGAGCAGAACTTCTGTTGGCAAAACAAGCCTGCTCCACTTACATACATACAGAAAATTTAAAGCTGAATTTCTTTTAAAATGTGCTAAAGTATATACTTTCTGTTAAATTTGCTCGCCAGTCTCTCATTCAGTCCAGATGGGCCAGTTTGACACTGACTGTGCTCAGGTTCTCTGTTCCACAATGATTCCCTGAGGCACCAGGCTCCCGGAGGTCCAAAACCATCCCATGCTTGCTGCTCTCCCTGGGCTTGGTTCTGGACTGGTTGATTCAAGCAAATGGCCGGATCCAAACCGCACCCCATTGATAAACTGCCTGTAGATTAAACGTGGCACTCCCTGCCAGGGCCTGGGGTCTCTGTTTCACCTTTTTGTCTTCAGCCTTGATCCAAACTTGGCTTAGAAAACCAGAATCCCATGATAAACGCTTCTTACAGCCCTTCCTCCTCCCCTCCCATCATCACACTTCCCTCCTACCCTAAATTTCTCAGTGATGCCGGGTTTGAACCACTTGTTGTTGGGATTCAGGAGAATCTCATCTGTCCGCCCCTTCTGCCCATAAATCTGGATGAAGATAGGAGAGTTGGTACCAGCTTTCTTCAAGTCGGTTGTCCAGACCCACAGGGACCACGGGAATTCTGCCGAGACAGGTCAAGTTGCACCATTAACTTCAAAAAGTAAAGAGTTTTTCATGCTGCCAGTGAGAAAGAAGAGCAAATCGAAGATGATCAGGACTGAAATACAGGTTATGCACAAGTGTGTCCCATCCTCAGAACCCCATTATAACAAGTACCAAATTTGGGAAGCCAAGGATTCCTTGCTATTTGGAAGAGGATGTCTTAACATTCCTTTTAATAAAGGTGAGAGTCTATTAGTATGTTTTAAATAGGAGAGTTGACTCCACCCACCCCATGTCCAGTATATCATGATTGCACTGTGTTCAACCGTTCAGTTTAACACCCAGCCCATCACAGCAGCTAATCCAATTTGGGGCCGTTGGAGTATCAGCCTTGGTGCCAAGAGTGTAACTCTGTGTGACCTGCACTTCAGAGAAATGAGCTTCCTGGGGACCCCTTCCCTTCCCTTCCAGAGCAGAACTGAGAAGCAGGAATGCCCACGGGTTTGACATCCTGGCCTCGGCTGGCTCTGGGCCCCTCAACCTACTTTTTAGCCGCTTCTTCCTGAGAGACACCATCTCGTACAGCTGCCTCTCGATCAGCCCATCTACCTTCTTCTCATCCAGCCAGTTGCTGCAAGGGAAGGTCTGCTGGATGCCAGTGAAGGGGCACAGAATCACCACCTGCGGGAGCAGATCATGTCTCCTGCAGCAGGTCCCATGGCTGGGACATCCTTGCGACGTTCAACAGCGTCCTTAGCCCCACCTTTAGGGTCGTCTGCCTTAGCACCCTCAAGGAATGGCATTTTTCTTCCCACTGCCTGTCTCTTTAAATCTGAGATCAAGAAATACCTCCTTTAAGAAATCTTCCCAAGTAGGTATCATCCATCCTCCAATTTACTAGCCCAAATCTCAAGCATTTTTCTGTACACACACACCCTCTTTGAACACCATATTGCACATCGTAAAATCTCAGATTGAACCAAATTAACTAGAATACTAAATTTATCCCTTATATTTGTCTTATAGGAAAAAGGTCAATCACAGAAAAGGTCATTAATACCTATAATTTAGATATATCTGACATAGAACTCGTTTCAAGAATATATAAAGAACTCTTATAATTCAATAATAGAGAGACAAAAATTTTAAATAAGCAAAAGATACCTCACAAAAGAAGATATAAAAGGACCAATCAGCACAGTATAAAAGTTGCTCAACATAAAAATTGCTCATCAGAGGCTTGTAGATTACACCCATAATTAAACTCCACTACATACCCATTAGAATATCTAAAATGTAAACTTGGCAAGAAATTTCTATGGAAGTTCAAGGGGCATGAATAGGGTAACCTATACCTGAGGAAGAAGATAAAAGTGGGCAACTTTGCCCTAGCAGATAGCAAGACTCAGTGAAAAAAAGGTACAAAATGAAGACAGTGAGTTACGCATTAGTACGTTACTGAATCAGTAAATGGAACAGACTAGAAAGCTTAGAGGCAAATTACAAATTTGGGGAATTTGATGTATGACAGTGGCCTTTCCAGAACAGTGGGGAAAGAATTACTGTTTAGTAAATCGGTGCTTCCCAGGCTTGCTTAATAATAAGAATTATCTAAAGCATTTGTGAATATCCAGATTACCGGAAATTCTGACTCAGTACGTTTGGGTTGGAGCCTAGGAATCTATTTTTGAAAAAAAATTCCAGGTGATTCTCAAGTTGACTCAAGTATTAAAAGCCCTTCAATAAATGCTGCTGGGACATTTGGATATCTACATAGAAAAAATAAAACTGAATCCCCACCTCATACAGAAATCAATTTCCTGGTAAATTAAAGACATAAATATATAATGGGAAAACCAAACTTTACAAATTTTGGAAGAGGATACAGGAAAATGTCCATATAGCTTTAAAGGAAGTAAAGTTTCTTTCAATGACACAAAACGCATTAACCACAAAGGAAAAGATCAGATTGCTTTCAAATTAAATCTTCTCTCCCTCAAAGAATATTGTCAACAAGCTATGAGAAGATATTTGAACACATACTATCAACAAAGGATTAATAACCAGATTCAGTAAGGACCCCTAAAAATAAATCCAGCAATAGATTACTCAATAGAAAAATCAGCAAAAGACATGAACAGGCATTTTACAAAAAGGAAACACGAATGGCCAATGAAAGAGTCAAGAGATGCTCAACTTCACTAACAATCATGAAAATAAAAATTAAAACCACAATAAGATCACTTTACAACTGGTGACGATTTAAAATTCAGGCAATATCTGGTGCTGACAAGGATGTATGGAACAGAATGTCTCTTACACACAGGCTGACAGGGGGATAAAATGGTGCAACTGCTCTGAAAGACAGACTGGAAACTCCAGAAGTATAATTATTCTGCAAGGCTGAAGATTCCCTTACCCCATGAGCTGGAACTTCCATTCTGAGAAGTGCCTGCACCTTTGTACAAAGATGCATATACAGGAATTTCATGGCAGCATTGTTTATAACAGCAAAAAAAAAAAAATCAGGAAACATCCCCCAAAAGTCCAGCAACCGATGAATGGACAAGTAAGTTGTAACTGAAGCAGGCAATGGCGTGGATAGAAAATGGATCATCCACAGCTTCTGTTACCAGTTCGGACCATCTCCAGAGCATAACGTTGAGAGAAAACGGCTAGTTACCAACAATACACACGTGGACAAAATACGTAATAGTGTATGGTCTTTGGGAAGGACGTAATAGGATTATAATCCATGAGTGATTGCAGAAGGACACAGAGGAGTTTCAAAAGCCTTGGAAATGTTCCATTTCTTAAGTTGAGTGGTAGACAAACCTGATGGTTGCTTTTTATCCTTCTCTGTATCTTCCTTTCATTATGTGCATTGTTGAAAGCGTAAGTATTCCACAGTACATACATGTTTTTTTCCTGGTCTTGATATTTCATTTTATCTTTTATTTTATTTTTTCACAATACAAACATATATTTAAAAATACTTGTCGACTGAGAGATTTATAAGCTGGAGTGGAACACCACACCAGGAATCAAGATAGTCCATAACCCGCAACCGAGCCCCTCTGGATAAGCTACCTTGTGTTTCGGCCCCTGGTTGCGTGTACAGAACAGCCCCCATACCTGACCATCAGTAAGACCAGATAGACGGGCATGTAGCCATCCGAAAGGCCCCATGGAAGGGACTGCCCATGTGCTCTGTAACTGGTCCAAAGGAAGCAGGAAGTAGGATTCAGATTAGAGTTTGCATCTGCAAGTTAAAGGAGAGAGGGGTGGAATCAGGGAAGCGGCCTCCGCAGCCCCCCTTACCTTCTCACAGTACCAGCCTCTGTTGACGCCCACGTTGCCGTGTCCGATGGAGACCCTGCCCAGGGGGCTGAGCAGGGCAGCCAGCTCGATGTGGAAGATGTCTGTGCGGCCACGGTCAAACACTCCACCCTCCAGGAAGATCTTCCCGCTGTTCTTATTCCCTCTGGCCCCGTACATGACCAGGTAGATTTTGGACTTGGTCCCAGCGCCCCGGACATCCCCAGTGAAGACGGTCACAATATAAGAGATGGCTGGTGTGGAAACAACAAGGGGAAAGGGAAGCAGAGGCTTCAATGCAAGCTGATTACAGTGTCCTACCCACCTTCTCCCCAACCCGGCTACACCGCCCTAGGCACCCCCCTCTTCCATACATCCTCATCCCCCCAAGTCCTCCTGCCCCAGATGACAGCCAGTGCCCCTCTCTACTTCACATATCTTTTTGAGTTTGTGTGGCAGTGTGTCTGAGTTTAGGAAGGAACACAGGTTAACAGGAAGCTGCCAGCCCCAATTACAGGAAACTCACAAAGAGAAGGAAGAGCTTGGGTTGACTCTAAGAATAGCACTTATTATTAATGCTAATTACCAGGTGCATATTATTAATAGCTGCTGGATGAATTCTATTATGTCTCATTTAATTGTAATAGTCAACTCGATTAACAGAGATTTATATTCTGGGCTGTGATTCATTTAGCTTGCTCTTTCACTCGTAACTTAAAAACAACTCTTATCAGAGGGCATAAAGTCCTTCTTTACCCAGGATGACAAAAAGTCGAGGGAGGAAGAGAATGCTGTGGGTTGGGCCATTTGGGGTTTTGGTCAGAGGACAAGGAGTTCTGGGGTGGAGCCAGCGAGGGGAGCTTAAACTCTGAGATGAGACACAGTAAAGGAAAACACTAAAGACAAGTATTTGAACAGGAAACTACAGGAAATTCTGCTGAGGTCTGGCCCTTTTTTTTTTCACTCTGTCCTGGAGTCTAAGGCAAGTGGTACTTTAAGCCTTGTTAACTTCCCCCGCCTCCCTTTCATCCTGCCCCTGCCCCTGCCCTCATCCCCTGACCCCAGAGAAATAAAAATCCCCAATGTCTTTGGAATAGAACGCATGCAACTACACAGATGCATCATTCGTTCAGACATTTGCACCTTTCTTTGTTTAACAAACATTTACTGAGTGCTTACTGTATGTCAGGCCTTGGGAGGTTGTGAATGAAAAAAGAAACAGCCCCTGCCCTAACAGAGTGGGTCTCCAGCTTTATTTTTCCACAACACGTGGGCAGACGGTATTCTCACACAAGACATGGCCGTGGTTTCGGACCGTCTGGTTCCTCCTCCTCCTCCTCTACCACTGGAAGCAAGTAACAGTAACACGGTTGAAGGGAGCGCGTGAAACCCACTCTAGTGTATGTTGCTAAGAAAACCATTTGCAAACTCTAGTCACAGATGACTTGTGACACACCCACGATGGTCAGACCGGGCCCAGGGCACACAAAGCCAAGGCTGAAGAGTGCCGGAGCGGAGGAGAATTCAGTTTCCCGAGCAATAAATAGCAAGCAAGTCCTGCCCTAAATGTCTGGAGCAAAAGAAGGGAGAGACTGTCCTGTCTGGAGTGTGGCAGTGCTGGGGGATGGTTTAGAGGAAATGACTGCAAGAAGGGATTTAAGAAACAAAAAGAAGAGAAATGGCAGTACAGGCTGAGGGGAGGCATGTTGCAAAGAGAAGGGAAGAGAAAGAGTGAGGCCAGCAGCTAAGGGGAGGGGAGAGGGGAGGTGTGTGGATGAGGTGGGGGGAGAGTGGAGGGGGCAAAAGTAAGTACAGACAGAGTAGAAGGCATGCAGATGAGGGGAGGGAGCTGGAGGGTGGGTGGAAGTAGTGGGAGAAGGTGTTGAAAGATGCTGCTGGGGGGAGGGTATAGCTCAGTGGTAGAGCACATGCTTGCACGCACAAGGTCCTGGGTTCAATCCCCAGTCATAAACAAACAAACAAATAAATAAGATGCTGCTGAAATGGCCAACTGGGGCTCCATCGTGGAGCCATTCTTATCTTATGCCCCGGATCATGGGCTCCTTCTCCAGGCAGTGGGGAGCCATGGGAGGTTCTATGGCGGAGCACAGTCTCAGCGGTGCCCATTCACAGACATTTCTGGAACATCTGGAACATACCAGGCTATGCTGGGAATTTCAGGGTTTCCGTGGAATTCACACAGGAGAGGGATGTCAGAGGCAGACTAAATCTTGGATCAGCTGTGTGACCTTGCACAGGTCTCTGAGCTTGTGACTCAGTTTCCTCACCTGTGAAATGAAACAATAACTGTCCCCCCCTTCTAGGGTTGTGGTGAGGATGAGAGGAGGCGAAGTGGGTCAGCGGCCTGGAGAGAGCCTGGCGTAAAGTAAGCACTCAGCAGTAGGAAGAGTTAAGAGTGAATCAACATCCTTATAAATGTCCACGAGGGTCAGGAGTTCACATCCTAGCCCCACCCTGCAGATAACTTCCCTTGCCCTGGGAAGTTAGTGTCTGCTCAGGGGCACCTCTGCATCTCCTTTGGCATCAGCAGAGGCCCAGACTCCAGCCCGGGGGGGACAGAACACTTTCAGGGACAGGAGAAATGTTGTCTGAAGACACGGCTGGTTCCCACTTGATTGCAGGCCTCCAGATCCGCAGATGAGAACACCGACCCTCAGGCAGAGAGTGAAATATTAGCCCACAGGGGGTCCCCTTCCTTCAGGTCTACCTGTGGTCTCAGCTCCGCCCACGAAGATGTCCCTCTGGATTTTGCCATCATCTTCATCCAAGGCCAGCCAGCGGTTAAGAGGGAAATCATACTTTCTTTTGTTCCCAATATCTTCAATGATGATCTGGGAAGGAGAAGAGAAGGAAAGAAGGTTCAATGTCATTGAAGGCACACCTGATGACCACATCCGATTCCTCCATCACTTGAGTGTACGCTAAGGGTATGCTCTCAGCGTCTTAGTGGCCCAAGGAAAGCTTATCACAAGGACACACCTGTTGTCAGAAAACCTTACTAAGCACTGAGAGTCACACAGGGGTGACTGACAATCCCCTCCTTCCTGAATTACTGAGCCTTTGTTCCCTCCTCTGTGGCAGATCATTAAAAACAAAAAACTGAATGCAAGAAACTTGGCAGGGTGTGCCCTGTGAGCCTGGGACGCCAAAACGGGCAGCCTGGGTTTGCAGACGGCACGAAGATCATCACCCTCCTCACCTGGTGAAGGCTGCGATTCTGACCTTGCTGAGAAGCAGAGTCCATGCCAAGGACACTATACAGGCCCTGAATCTGGCACACAGAATCCCGGGACCTGGCGATCAGGTTGGAAAATGTCAACCCCTGACAGTGAGGCTGGGGAGCTGGGCATCTCTGAAGCCGCCGTGGGGGACTGACATGTGAGCGAGGCTGGGAAGGCTGAGAGAAGTGTGTCTTCCAGAGCTTACCAAGGAGCCGGGGGCCCTCCCCAAATGTCCCAGGGACACCCGCTGAAAACTCACTCTAAGTGGGGTCATCAATAACCAGACCGACTCCTCCAGCCATAACTGGAGGGCAGAAGCAACTGGCGACAGAATGGGGGAGTTGAAAAGAAAAAAAAGTCTGCCCAGGTGTGCCCAGGGCTGCCCGACAGAGAGGGGCTCTGATTCCCGATGAAAGACTCACTTCCTAAGACCAAAGTGTCTGCAGTGTGGAAACAAGGCACACCCTGGCCTGCCTGAAGGCATCTCACCTTGTTCTGTAATCCAGTGCTCATCGAGGAAACTTCTGGACTCAGAGCTGGCCTCCTGAGGACACCACCCACCAGGGAGGGGCCAGTGGTCTGAGCCAGTGACCAGGACCAGCCGTCCCACCAGGCTTCCCTCCCCAGATGAATCAGCATTCAGGCTCTGGTTTATAAATCAGCTCCTTGTAAGTTTGGTTGGTGTGAGTCACCCTCTAGGGCTTGCTGATATGATCGAGTCTCTTGTTCTTTCAGAGCTGAGTGCCTGGAAGCCACTGTGGCACCGTCCAGAGGGCGCTCTGTCACGGAAGGCAGTCCAGCCTCTGCCAACTCATCTGTCTGTGCATGTCTCTGTGGCTTTCATCTCCCGGGTGGGGTGGGGGAGATCGGGGAGCCGCTGACAAGGGTCTGGGCTACACCTCTTTACTCTGACCCTCACAGCGTTGGGAAAGCAAGGTGAAGAAAGAAAGGACTTAATCTATTAGATAAGCTGTCACGTCTCCCAATAAACCTAAATACACAGATTCACCATTTCTGTCTTTAAATGTTCGCAGACTGGTGTGCCAGCCATGACTCCGAGAGCAAAAGACAACCACCCTCCCAGTTCACAGAGTGATGGCTTCCATAAAGGGCCTTCTCCTGGCCTGGCATCTGATGGAAACTCCTGGCTTGAGGAATTTAGCTAATCTGAAAAATAAAATGTGTTACCATTAAATCTCTCTAGAGGACAAGCTAGCCAGCACAGCTGAACCGCCAAGGAAAGAGACGACATGTGAATGAGTATTTGAATAACAACTAAGACTTTAAAAATTAGACTTTCTGAAATGCCAAATCACAAAGAAAGGCCAAAACTTAAACGCTAGTGTAGAAAGCATAAAGGTCCATGAAACAGTTCTGGAACTTTGCCAGATGTATCCTGAAGTATGTAAACCATTATTTATGACATCTCTTAGTCCCAAGGTCTGCAGGATGAGGCTGGGGGAAGCTGGCTCCCGAAGGGTAGGACATTTTGGAACACAACTGGTAGCGAAGGAGCTGAGACATGAGAGACGGAGCGAGTGATGCCAGCACCCAGCACAGAACGACTGTACTGGGGGCGGTGCGGAGGGCGCTCCCAAGAGCATCCTGGCCTCTGCTGATGTGGGTCCTGGTGCTTGGGACATTACTAAGGGCCCCTTGGGGGAGAGCAAGCAGCTTTCCCACTTCCGTTCACAGTTGCCCAGACACCCCTGGTTTTTCATACAGTTCCTTTGAAGAATTCAAGACACCTTAGCAATGGTTTTTCACCTTCGTCATGAATGACAGAAGCACACACCTGCAGTGTGTGGGGGAGAGACAGACAGACAGAAGCAATAACCTAACGAAAAGCAAGAGCCATTGTCTCCCCGAGGAATGCTCTCCACCTGCAGACAAGCCCACAGGCTGGGAAACCAGGGGTCATGAGCCCTTGGGAGGTGAGAAGGCGAGAAGGGAGCCTGTCCACGGTGGAGCTGCTCTTTTCTGCTCTGCAGCACAGTCACAAGGCGAGACCATCTCGTTAAAAAAACAGCCAAGGAGGACAAACCACACCGGAAGAAGAGGAGGAAAAGATGAAGTTGCCAAGAGCAGGGGTTATTTCTTTCCTGTTCTTTCCAGATGGTTCACAGACACACCCAAACGATCCGCCATCTCCTCCCGCGCAGGGCAAACATGTCTGTGTGAACACATGGAGTTGATCTTGGAGCCAATACATTGTAGATCAATGTAGAATGTCAACTGTGACTCACGGCAGAGCTCCCACCCTCGGTATGGGAATCACTTCCACCAACTTTACGTAACCTGATGGAAGCAGAGCCCCGTTTTGCGCAGAAGAAATGAGCCCCACACGCATAGGGCAGCTTGGAGAGGTTGAAGGGCCTCCTCCCTCCCACCTAACGTGCCGAGGTGCCAGAAATACAGACAATCTGAGTGGTCCACAGTGATCCTTCTCTGAACCAGCCATGGGGCAGGAAGTGAACATAAGACACATCCCTGTTTCCAGTCTTCCTTTTAAAAATGCTTATATGAGCCACTACATATAAAAAGAGATTTTAAGTTTCTTCTATATAGCGTAGGAAACTATCTTCAATATCTTGCAATAACCTTTAATGAAAACGAATATGAAACTGAATATATGTCTGTATATGCATGACTGGGACACTGTGCTGCACACCAGAAATGGACACATTGTAACTGACTGTACTTCAATTAACAAAAAACTAAAAGATGAAAGAAAATTGTATATATGTTATCCAGTAAAGGTGGCCCTTGACACATAAGCAGCCATCGCCACATTCCAGAAACCACTGCTGAATGTGGTTTACATTTAGATTTCTTAGATCACAGGAAAGGGACGGGTAAGTTTTGATACAGGGGAAAAAAGGTGGGAAAGACTCTGGAGCTTAGGAATCCACTTTGAAATCTCAGCACCCAGGGGTCAGCAGGGAAGACCTGGGCTCATGGAAGAATGAGAGAGTGTCCTATGGGGGGACTGAAGCTCAGAAAGAAGGGAGGGCGGTCTCCTCCTCCTGTCACAGGGCTGTCCTTCCCCACACGCTCTGTGTCTCACTCATCATACTGAAATACTGTGTTAATTGATAGGTGGCATGCCACAAACAGAAATGACTGTAAATGACAGCATTTGAACGGTGACACCTTTAAGGCTCTGGCTCCTTCCTCCACACTTCATCCCTCTCCTCTGAGCCCGCCCACACATCCGCTCCCTCATCACTGCCTCAGGCTGCCTCATTCAGTAAAGACCTCTGATGGCTTGTTCTGACCAGGACCTGTGACGGCCCCGCCCTCACCCAATGCCCTAACATCACTTCTCGGTTCTGAGTCCTGCGCCCTGGCCCAGAGTTATTCAGCGTCCGTGTGCCACCTTCCAGCTGCCCCTCATCTGTCATTCCCTCTGCCCAAAGGAGTCCTCCTCCCTGCCCCACCCCCAGCAAAACCCTCCCCGTCTTCACGATCCAGCGCCAACGGACCCTCCCTGAAGCACCCTCCGATGCCCACAGGCACGGCTCCCCACAGCGATGTCTGTTTGTGCCTCACATAACACTCATCCTGCTTTGCACTCAAGTTGGGGCGATTCTGTTTCCTGATTTTCAAACTGGCAGCCCTGGTTCGATCCACTTTAGGACCCCCTAGGACAGAATGGTCATTCATTGAAAGCTGGACTTTTCCTGAAGTTTCACAACATTGTAAACTGACTATAACCCCAAAAAATAAAATTTTAAAAACAGTTTTGCAGTATAAGGTCACAGTAACTACTTAGGAACCTGTCTCATCTCTTGGAAGCAGAGCCACATTCACTGTGACAGCTGCGGGTGCAGTGCGGGGCCCACGGTGCGACAGCCACTCAGTGAGTGTTTGCTGGACGTTGAGGGTAATTGGTGACCTGAGGCCACGGTGGGCTTCCTGAGGTCCCTGAAATCAGCTCCACCAGCCTCCGTCTCCTCTCCTGTCAAAGCCAGTGGTGCTGCTGGAACTTATACTCCCCCAGCACGCAGTAGGTGACCCATCCGATTCTGGACTTCCTAACACATGGCACAGTGGAGACAATGCTGACTCAGAGTCCAGAGGACCTGGGGCAGGTGCCCGTCCTGCCACTGAGGGGCCGCGGGGCCGTGGGCAAGTCTGTCTGCTGAAGCAGATGGACCAAGGGTGAGGCCCACTGGCAGCGCCATGTGCCATCTTGTGGCTGTTGCCCCTCTGAGGTGGTCGGTGACCTGAACTGATCATCTGAGTCCGTCACAATTCTCGGGCTCACCAGACATGAGGACCCAAGCCACGTGAAAGCCTGGAAGAGGGAGCATGCCAGCCCCACGGAGAGGGCGAAGAATGGGGTGTCAGAGGTGTCGGCCACCCCAGGCACCACCAGCTGGGGCTGAGGAACATACATGGCAACTGACTAAGGAAGGAGGGAGATGACCCATGAAGGAGCTAATTACACTGGCTTTTAGATTTATCCCACCAAGTCCTCACACGGAAACATGGAAGGAGCAGTTGTCACGTGACATCCAAGGCAGCCAGCCCAGCAACGTGGAGAATGGGAGCACTTGCTGTCCAAGTGGCAAATCTGGACATGCAGCCAATTTCACAGCCCCTTCAGTTGGTGCCTTCGGGGAGCTGAGGGCCAGCAGAGCAATCAGAGTGAGTGGAGGAGGGGCACACGGAGGCCCAGCCGTAGGGAGGCAGGAGGCTGGGGCTCGTGTGCGTGGTGTCATCCCAAAGTGACGCAAGGTGGCCCTAGGTTCCCCCTCTCCCCTGCTTTCAGCTTGTGCCCACCCTGCCTGGGACCTCAAACCCTCCTTCCTCCTTTCTCATTATAATTCTTCCCCCGGGAATATATCTAGTAAACCCAGGTGCGCTGCCCTGCAAAATGTCATTATTTTTATGTCTTATCCCCAGGGAGCATTTTGGTTTGACTTTGATTTAGTTAAAGGAACAGCCTGTTAGGGATTCTCCAGAAGCCAATGAACCTTTGGAGGGATACCTACCTTGGCACTGGGGGGACCGGCAGGGACCTGCCTACCAGGCCCTGAACTCACCTTATGCAAAATACTGGCCCCAAAGAGAAGAAGCAACCCCACACTGGGAGTAGCCAGCCTGGCCTTCTGGTTTAAAAAAGTGTCTGACTAGCAAACAATAAGGAGAGGAAAAGAAGAGGAAGGAGGGAGGAAGGAAGCATCATTCTAAAGAAGCAGAAGAAGAGGAGAACTCTGCATAAAGGATATGGAGAAAGAGTTAAGAAACTGGTATGCTTAACAGACTACAAGAACATACGGTCTTTGTGAAATAGCAGTAAACATCTTTAAGCATAGAAGGGGCTGCAGTGAAAAGGCAGTAAGATGATATGAAAAGAGAACTAGATTACTAGGTATCAAGAAAAGCAAAAGTCTAGAGCAGCAAACATACCAAAGGTCTTACAGCTCTGCACGCCCTATAACCAGCTCCTAGGAATTCATTGTAGGAAATAATCATAGATGTGCGTAAAGATAAGAGACAAGAATGTTTGTCACAGCAGTATTTACAGTGTCAATCATTTTAAGGGGAAAAAATTGAAATGTTCAACAAAGGGGACTTGGTTTGATAATTCATACTATATCTGGGCAGTGAAACACAATACTATTATAGTCATGAAAAATTGCATTGTGAAATATCAGTGTCATTCTATTTAAATAGCTTGGGGAAATATGCATATTATATTTGAAGCTGAGAACAAAGCAGTTTGTAAGATATTGTATTTATTATGATCCCATTATTTTAAAATGATATATATATATTAATTCACAGAAAAATGCCTGGAAGATATGTATCAAAACATGAACACTGTTATCTTCAGGTAGTAAAACCCCGGTGGTTCAGATTATCTTATTTTTGCTTATTTGTATTTCTTAAATTTTTTACAGTGAATATGTATTACTTTTGTAAGAAGAAAAAAATATTTAAAAGAAACATTCAGAATTAAAATTCTCGTTCAGAGGAGAAGGAAATGGAACTGATGGTATGGAAAAGCAAATCAATCATGAGGTGAGGGAATTTTACAAGTTCTTGTGGAATGCGGAAAAAAATAGAGATGAAAGGAATAAAAGACAAGCTGAGAGCTTTGGAAAACAGAACGGAGATCCAATAAATGGACAGTTGGTGTTCCTGAAGACGAGACCAGAACAAAGCCATCCAAGCAAGAATTCAGTATATAATAGGAGAACTCTTTTCTGGGCTATAAATAAATAAATAACAAATATCCTATGCATCACAGAAAAGACTCATCATGTTTCAAACGAAGGAAGGAAGGAAAGAAAGAAGGAAGGAAGGAAGGGATGGGGTGGAGAAGAGAGAGAAGGGAAGGGAAGGGGTGGAGGGGAGGGGAGATAGATGAACTAACAAAGACCCTACTCCTAGACATTATCTGGCAAGACTTTTGAATTATAAAGAAAAAGAAAAAAAATCCTACAAGTATCCTGTCTGGGAAAGAAACCCACAAAATAAGTTGTCCAGGAAGAAAAATAAAGTTGGCGTTGATATCAAATTTCAGATGGTAATGGAACAAGATTTACACGCACTCTGTATCATTTGAGCTATACCCTCCCCCTTTCTTCTTCATTCTTAATTTGTCCCAGGCAGGTGAAATTACAAGGACCCATGGTGTAGAAATTTGAGGTACAAAGCAACAGCCCAAGGTAAGTCAGGAGAAAGCTTATGATTAGGATGACATGAATGCTATAAGCAGGCTGGGTTATAAACATTCGTGGGAGGGGGAGGTTCTGGTGGCCTGAGTCAGGGGATGCTTCGTGGTTGAGTCTTAGGATGATCAGACCCTGACTGGGTGCAGATGAGAGTGGTGAGCTTTCCTGGAAGGTGATAACACAGGCAAAGACTTGAAGGCTGGGAGGAGGGCAGCGTGGTTGGCCAGCGGGCTTAGGTAGAAGAGTGGAGGCAGACAGATCTAAAAAGGGAAGTTTGAGGAACTAAATTTCCCCCTCCCGGGCCGCAGGGACCACAGACAGGCAGCTGAACCCACCTTGGACAGGAACCAACCTGGAGACCCGCCCTTGTTGTTGTGGCCAATATTGATCTTCATGAGCTGCCCCAGATCCGGGGCGTCCAGTAGGAACTTGTCTTCAGCTCCCTTTTCAAAGTTGTCCTTTTCGTTCTCCAGCCGACGCTCGCCTGTATGCACAGACCCACGAGAAGGTTACAAAGGAGACCAGAGGAGGTGAGAGAACCAGCTCCAAACTTTCATGCGCCACCTGCTGAAGGTTGGTCTCAAAGTCAACACCAGTGGAGGCTGTGTGGGTGGGGACAGGCCATATGTGGGCACTCTCTGTACTTCCATGCCATTTTGCTGTGAACCTAAAACAGCTCCAGTTTTACTAATTTTAAAAAAGTCAAGAAGGGTAGCTTCACCCCCAAGATCTACAGGCTCCTTAAATCCCTCTAGCCTGCAGTCAGGGCTGAGGCTTGCCTTGCATGTGGCTTGTGCCTAAGACCCATGACTGGGCTTCTGATTTCTGCCTTAGCCCAGGGTCCCCACCCTAGTAAACGGATTTGCCCCTCCATCCCTGCCTTGCTCTGCCAGTTGCTTGTCCTGAACTAGGAGCACAACCAAGGTTGTTGGTTCAGGGATGGTTGGCTGGGATCCTGACATCAGCCAACAGGCTTCCTTGGGCCTGACTCCTTTTCTGGAAAACAGTGATGGGAACAGCCATCAGAAAAATAAAATAGACAAAATATGATCATATGTAGTGTCTCATGGATGATAAAAACACGTATTGCTGCTAATCCTTTTTGCCATGGAAAATTTAAAAAAAAACTCATTAAGTGACATGTGACTCATTAAAACAGTTCTTATTTGTCAAAAAAAAAATCATGAGGCGTTACTGGGTGTTTAGCATCCTGTTTGTCCCCTCACTTACTCCTCGCCACAATCCAAGAGGAAGCGATCATAACTGTTTTGCAGATGAAGAAACTGAGACTTGGAGAATTTTAACAACTTGCCAAGAGTCACACAGATATTAAGCACATAGTTAGAACTTGATCTAACTTGTTCCTTCCACTTTGCAGTTTTCTGTTACGATGTTCCAACATCCACCGGTCATATTAGCCCTTTCAGTCCCACCTAAGCATTAGCTTTTTGCTTATGCTGTCCAGTCTTTTCTAAAATTTGAGTCTTTAAATTTTTCTAAATGTCAAATGGTCACAATTCAAACATGGAAAATCACATTAGCCATCCATGTACCCACCACCTGGATGTAAGAGGTACAACAGCAACATTTTGTATAATTTGCTTAGGCCCTTCTCTCTCTCTCTTTTTTTAAATAGACTTTTTTTTTTTTTGAGAGCAGTTTCAGGTTCACAGCAGAATTGAGTATAAAATACAGAGAGTTTGCACATAGCCCTCCCCACCCACACATATACACTCCCCTACCCTCGACATCGCTCACCAGTGTGGCATATTTGGCCCTTCTTTTTTTTAAAGGAAATAAAACCCGACAGGTAGGTCGAAAGTCTTAGGTCCATCCCTTCCCATGCTACTCTCTCCCCAAAAGAAACACTATTGTCAATTGGTATCCATAGTTCCTGAGAATTTCTTTGCATATGTATGTCTCCATAAAGAAAATATACTATTTTTGCATGTTTTAGAATTTTACATAAACAACGTCATAGAGCACATGCTCTGTCTCAGGTTCCTTATCTGTGCAATGGGGGTGATGAGAGCATCGCCTCTAGGGGCTGTTGTGAGGATTAACGGAACAAATGTGCGCAAAGCCCTCAGGGCAGCGCCTGGAGCGTGGTAAGGGGCTGTGTTCACGGCTGGGGTCTTCAATGTTGCTCCTGTTACAACCATCTTATCACTATCATCACACACCCTGTGCAACTTACTTTTTTTTCAGTTAATATCATGCTTTTGAGATTATTCTGTTGATGCTAGTAACAGAATTCATCCAACTGCTGTACAATAGTCACTGAATGAAGAAAACACTATTAGGTATGCATTTTTTTGCTGATGGACATCCAGGCTGTTTCTGGTTGATTGCGCTTGTCAATAGCACTGAAATGAACTATTTCGCACCTTCCTTCTGCCCCACATTTGTAAGAACTGAACCAATAGGCACCTTCAGAATTGTTGACGCCTAAATTGTGTTCATCTTTAATGAATTAGGTGCCACAAACCTGCCTTCCAAAATGGTTGTCAACTACCACCAGCAGTGCGTGCAGGTTCCCATTCCCCACAATCATTACTAACACATAGATTTAAATTTTTTTCTTTCAGTGTGTCTTATTATGGTTTTAATTTGCATCCCCTTGATACTTGAAAATACTGAAAGATTATTTGGAAAGATGTTCATATATGTAAGTATATTTTGAGAGATTGGTTCAAATATATATTGGCCATCGAGGACTTGCTCTTCCATAATTTTTCTGTTCATATACTTTACTATGTTTTTCTATTGTCTTTGTTTTGTCTCTGGCGTCTTTTCTCAGACAGACATTTTTCTTGTTTTAATGAATTTCATCAAAATTTCCCTTTATTGTTTGTGCTTTTAGTGAAACGTTCAAGAAACTTCATCCTAAATCGAGATTTTGAAAAAGACACTCGCTTAAAAGTTTCTCCTGAAAATTTCATAGTTTGCTTTTTCACATTTAAATCTCTAGACCATCTGGAACTTATTTTTGTGTATGGCAAAAGGTAAAAAGATCTACTTTTATCTTTTCTCATATGGTTAGACAATTGCTTAAATACCAGCAACTGAATATTTCATCCTTTTCCCTCTGATTTATAATGCCACGCTCTGTGTGCTTCTAGACTCTTTATTCTGTTGCTTCATTTGTTTATCCTTCTTTCATATCACACTGTTTCAATTTTTAGAGATCTGACTGTCTTAATATCTGGCAAGGTAAATCTCCTCATATTATTAATATTGTCAATATTATTTCTGTTATTCAGAAGTGTCTTGACAATACTTAGCCTTTTGCAAATGTGAATTTTAATAGCTTGAGCTGTGGGATGTTGCCTTTGGGAATTTGACTGACATTGCGTTGCATTTATAGAATAACCTGAGGAATTTAAGCATCTTAATCAATTATGTCTTTTCTCATCCTTGAGCATGATATATCTTTCCATTTATTTGGGTATATTTTTATGTCCTTAAGTAAAAATTTTTATTTTTTCCCAAATGCACTTTTGTTAGATTTCTTCTTAAACACCTTATAATTGCTGTTGTAAATCATATATTTTAGATTAAATGTTTGCTTGCTGTTTTTATTGATATTTGTATATTAATCTTGTATCCAGCTCCTTTATTAAAACTTTCTCATTAGTTCTAATAATTTTAAAATTCTCTTGGATTTTACAGATGATTATTAGTTTTTATGAAAATTAAAGTTTGTTTCTAAGAGGGGTGAGAGATTGGATTCTAATTTTACTGACTTATCAAAGAATGTTGTCTCTGTGGTATCGATTCATTTGCATTTGTTTAAGACTTGCTTTGTGGCTTACTATGAGGTCATTATGTGCTTGAAAAGAGTGTGTATTCTCTACCAGTTGCATGCAGGAATCTATATTAGATCAAGGTTATTAACTGTGTTGTTAAAATCTGCACCTAAATACTAAATTTTTATCCATTTGACTTATCAGTTATTGAGAGTACTGTGTTAAAATCTTCCACTATGATTATGTACTTGTCAAGTTTTTCCAAGAATTTTGTTAATTTCTGCTTCACGTATTTTGAAAATATATTGTTAAATCTATACAAGTTCAGAATTATTATATCTTCCAGGTTAATTGCTCTGTTTGTCACTGTCTAATATACTTATTTCTTTTTTTTAATTTTTAAAACGTTTTTTAATTGAGGTATAGTCAGTTTACAATGTTGTGTCAATTTCTGGTATACAGCATAATGTTTCAGTCATACATATACACACATATACATTTGTTTTCATATTCTTTTCCATTGTAGGTTACTACAAAATATTGAATATAGTTCTCTTTGCTCTACAGAAGAAACTTGTATATCTATTTTATATATTGTAGTTAGTATCTGCAAATCTCGAACTCCCAATTTATCCCTTCCCACTCCTTTGCCCCGGTAATCGTAAGTTTGTATTCTATGTCTGAGAATCTGTTTCTGTTTTGTAAATAAGTTCATTTGTGTCCTCATTTTTTTTTTTTTTAGATTTCACATATGAGTGATTTCATATGGTATTTTTCTTTCTCTCTCTGGCTTATTTCACTTAGAATACAATCTCCGGGTCCATTCATGTTGCTGCAAATGGCATTATTTTATTCTTTCTTATGGCTGAGTAGTACTCCATAGTATAAATATACCACATCTTCTTTATCCAGTCATCTGTCGATGGACATTTAGGTTGTTTCCATGTCTTAGCTATTGTAAATAGTACTGCTGTGAACATTGGGGTGCATGTACCTTTTGAATTAGAATTCCCTCCAGATATATGCAGGAGTGGGATTGCTGGATCACATGATAAGAATACTTATTTCTGATGAAGTGTTTTGTTTTAGAGTTTAACTTGATGGATATTTGTATAGCTATACCAGTTTCTTCCCTGTTTTTGGCATGTTTCTGGTATACTTTATTCCATCTTATTTACTCTCAGCCTTTCTGTATCATATATTTAAGTTATATTTTATTTCTTTTAATTTAGTATGAGGCTATTCTTTAGCTGATGAGTTTAGTTTATTTCTATTTATTGTATTGTTTATACATTTATTTTCCACTATTAGCCATGCTTTTTCTTTCCTCATTTCCTGACTTCTATTGAATTGACTGAGTCTTTATTCCCCTTTAATTCCCTCTACTGGTTTAGAAATTATACATTTCTCTTTTGGGGTGATTACTGTTACAATTTCAATATGCATGCTTGAGTTATTAAAGTCTAAAGTTAATCAATATCTCTACTCTCCTAGGAATGAGCAATGGGCTAGAGCCAAGAACTTTATTATGTTTGAACTCTCATTATCTCCTTTCTTTCTCAAAGATTAGTGTTTTGGGTCCACATTTTCTCATGTCTTGATAATAATCATTATCGGTACTGTTTTGTATAGTCGATGCTTGCTTAAACTCGTTACAGAATTATCATTTGGGGGGCTTATCTTTGTTTCCTGCGTGTCACTCCTCTCTCCTGGGTACAATTTCCTTTTTCTTAAAGTATATCTTTCAGTGGTTATTTAAGCATCTGTCTGTGAGCAGTAAGACCTATTTCTCTTTGTTTACATGGAAATTCATTCATTTTGGCCTCGCTCTGAATGATAACCTACAGAATTCTAGGTTGATGTATATCATTGCTCACAAGATTGAAGATACTATTCCATGAACTTATATCCTCTATAGGTTGCTGATGGGAATTTGTTATCAACCTAACCATTGTTTTTATAGAAGTTAATCCACCCAATCTGGTTACTTTTAAGATATTTCTGTTGGCCTTTGTCTCCATCACAATGTGTCTAGATGTGAATCAGTTATTATTTATCCTGTTCAATATTTTTGTTACTTAAACCTGAAGATTCATATCTTTGCTTAATTCTGAAAAATGTGATCAGCCAGCATCTCTTCAAATACTTCCTCTCACCTATTCTATATATTCTGTTCCTGAAACTCCTGTTCAACATGCCAGAACTTACTCCCTTCCGCATGTCTCATGACCTCTCATTGATCCTTTCCAACCCTTTATGTCTCTGCTACATCCGCCTATATTGTTTATATTTCTCTTACAGTTCACTAATTCTCTATTCAACAGTTTCTAAGTGTGTTGTTTAACTCATCCATTACGTGTTTGTATTTAGTAACTGTGTTTCCATTTCCTGTATTTCTGCTTGCTTTATCTTTCACAGTGCCTTGTTCTTTTCCTCAATTGTTTCTTTCATGTCTATAGTCAGTTTAAACATACTGAAGTTACAGCCGTGCTCTTCAGATGAAATTGTGGGGGACTTAATCTTATTGCTTGTTGCGTCTACTGGTGTTTCGTCACGGTGGATTGTGTCCTTGAGTGTTCTGTGGTTTTGGAAAGTGAACTCACCTCTAGTGCTCTATCTGTGGGAATCCCATAAAGTCTTGCAAATGTTTCTTTCAAGCCCCAAAGGGTACTGGCATGGAACCAATTTTCTGTACCTAGGGCGGAGTGTTCCCAAATCATACTTGTAGTGTAAAATCAGACCTCAAGCCTACATGTGTGCAAGACGAAAGTATCCATTTTTCAGCAATTGTCTTTTTAATCTAGGGTTCTTACAAAGGTAAGTTTACTGTACTGATGAGCAGTTGTTTTCCTGGCCTATTTTTTCTCACTGCAGATGTTCCTGTGAACCTTCAGGCCTCTGGGCTTTATATGTGGTTCTAATTTTTTGTATATCTTGCCTCGAACAGCGCCAAGATCTCACTTTCTGACCCCAGAAGTGTATGGAAATCCATCCTGTGGACGTTGAACGTGAAGGCTCCCTTCGTTCAAGAGCCACAGCATCAATTCGTAGCTAATACTTGGATTCTGAGTTCTGTTTTCATTCCTGACACTGGAGAGTTCTCTTCTTTCCTTTTAATCCCAGCAATGCACTTTTAATTACTTAATATATTGTGTCCAAAATTCATGTCTCTATAGCTCTTCTGACTCTGACACTATTCTCTTCAACTGGCAGAAGCAGGGGAGAGCCACTTGTCTCAGTTCTGTTGGCCTGAACTGCTTTCCAGCACCTGCAGCCATGTCTGTGCCCTTAGTTTACGCTCCACCTATGAAGCCAAGCCCAAGTTGTCCCCTGGCCCCAGTCTTGTCTGCTCCAAACCACTGCACTGAGTCTGGCCATGGCCAGTCATATCTCAAAATATGATTCAAGATAGGCATGGAGGTTAGGGAGACAGAGTAAGTGAAAATGAGCTCCCTGGAGATGTGGAGACTGGGTCTGTTCTAGGAGGCAGGACAATTTTAAATCAACCCCAAATCAATCACAACTTATTCTGAAAACACATCACACACATAAATTTAACAAGACGGGTACCATGCTGCCTGGGGAGGGCCATGCATGGCAAATCACATCACAAGAAGAAAAGAGGTGCTCAACAGAAGAGCCTAGAGGAGACTGGAGTTGCCTTCCTCTGCCAGGAGGGTGAGGAACAGTCCACATAAGAATCAGTTCTCACAAATGATAAGAGCTGGAAAGGGTGTGGAGAAAAGGGAACCCTCCTACACCGTTGGTGGGAATGTAGTTTGGTGCAGCCATTATGGAAAACAGTGTAGAGATTCCTCAAGAGACTAAAAACAGACTTATCATATGATCCAGCAATCCCACTCCTGGGCATATATCCAGAGGGAACCTTAACTTAGAAAGATACATGCACCCCAATGTTCATAGCAGTATTATTTACAATAGCAAACACATGGAAACAACCTAAATGTTCATCAACAATGATTGGATAAAGAAGCTGTAGTATATTTATACAATGGAATACCACTCAGCCATAAAATAGAATAAAGTAACACCATTTGCAGCAACATGGGTGGACCTGGAGATTGTCATTCTAAGTGAAGTAAGCCAGAAAGAGAAAGAAAAATGCCATATGATATCACTTATATGTGGAATCTAAACAAAAAGACTAACTTATTTACAAAACAGAAACAGACTCGCATACATTGAAAGCAAACTTATGGATACCAGTGGGGGAAGAGGATGGGAAGGGATAAATTAGGAGTTCAAGATTTGCAGATACTAATATATATAAAATAGATAAACAAAAAGTTCATACTGCATAGCACAGGGAACTATATCCAAGATCTTGTAGTCACTTATGGTGAAAAAGAATATGAAAATGAATACACGTATGTTCATGTATGACTGAAGCGTTATGCTGTACACCAGAAATTGACACAACACTGTAAACTGACTATACTTCAAAAAATATATATATATACAAAAAAAAATCAGTTCTGCACATGGCTTGTGAAGAAAGGATTTCAGATCCATTACCTGTGTCTCCATACTCGCCAAAGATATTGATGCAGACGTCAGCATCAGTCCCCGCACCAATGACGTCACCAGTGTACACCTTGACTTCATACTTGTTACCTGGAAATGAAGGCAGAGAAAGCCTCGGCTCATCAGCTGAGGAGGGAAGAGCAGAGGCCCCAGAGTGGCTCCCACATTATTCACCCTTTCCTCCAGCAATGCATGAACTATCACCATTACCGTCAATAACTGAGCAAGAAACAAGTCGCCTGACATTGGTTCCAAGTGTTCATTGCCGAACTGCACGCACAGCGCTAATCAGAGGTAGCGGAGACTTTTGTTTCCATCTACCAACATGTTGCCTTGGGATGTGTGAATCAACCCAAATGCAAGGTGCCACCCCAAGCCGAACCAACCCACCAGTGCATCTCCCCTGGATACTGAAATGACTCCAGCTGGGCCCCCTGCCTCTACTCTGTCTTCTCCAATCTGTTCTCTACCCTGCATCAGAGTACAAAAATTCATTGGGGAAAGTTGATTATGCAAATTAAAATCAAACTTATATGTAAATTGTCAAGGCAGTAGCCAATGCAATGACCAGAGGAGCCAATGATAGACAGCAAACACATGTTCTGGCGTTGCCTCGTTTACAGACCTGTACCTGCTTCCTGTGTCTCTGCTTCATTTATTGAACAGAATTCTATTCTCTGTAACCCCAAACTGCCTCAGCCTTGGCCATGGCCTCAAGGAGGGAAGGGGCTCAATGCAAACCTGACAACACGATGATCCCCACCCAGGTCTCCCCAACCAGAGCCTGCCTCAGCGTGGGAGCAAAAGGCTGAGCTTGATAAGTGGAGCAAAGCAGAGAGTCCTGGAGAGTTCCTTTGGGTGCCAACAATTCTAAGGGCTGAGACAGCTTTCTCTTCCCTTTCCTCTTCTTGCAATGGTTTTCTATTTCTCGTGTACCAGCATTTTTCTTTTTCAGATGTCTTATGCCCAGTATGTGAAGCTGTAAAAATCAGAGCTGTTTTAACTGAGGCCCAAGTCCCAGCCTCTCTTCCCACATCCTCCCTGGAGCCTCCTCTGAGGTCCCAGCCCCCAGGGCTCTTTCAGCTCTGAGTTTCTTGGCCCTGCCACCTTGTCTGTGTCAATGATTTGCAAGTTTCACCATCTACCCCTTGTGCAGTGTGCTGTTTCCTGCAGGGGAGACTTCTAAGTTCCTTAAGAACTTAAAATCGACCTGGGAATAGGACTTCCTTCTGTCATATAATCTCCCCCACATCCCCCAGCCCAGTGCTGGGCCCAAATTAAAGTCTCACTGAGTATGTTGAAAAGCTAATTGAATTTCCTGAAGCTCAAAGTCCCTGGAAGTTACTTAAAGCCAAGGACTCAGGTGTGAGGTGGGGAGATAAAAAAGAAAAAAGAATTTCATCCTTTCCCATCTCGAGTCGTGTCCAGCAGTCTGGGGCTGCCCTCTAGAGATGAGACAGTGCAGAATCCTGCAGGGGACCCTCAGAGGACGCCTGCCCGCACGGCCCTGAAGGCTGACCTTTGACCTGCCGAGAACCCTGAGCCGAGAGGGACAAATATCCCCCATTTTCACTCGGTGAAACCCGTGCAGGGGGGTCCCCAGGGAAGGGAAGACCCTCCCATCCTCGCCCCCAGCGGAACGCTCCAGAAGAACAGTCATTCTCAGGTTCCCACCCCCTCTTCTTCACCACAAACACACCTCTAAGACAGGACCCAGAACCAGGGCCTTTACGAGAGGCCAGAGCCCGGCAAACCCTGGGCTGAAACTTGGGGCACATCCAGCCTCCCTGGGGAGGCTGTCGACAAGGCAGTTTTCCAGGCTCCCTCCCAGAGGCCCTGCATCACGCAGCTCAGCCAGCAGCTCTGCTCTCGGTCATCCTCCGAGTGGCAGAGGCCCCCACCAGGGGCTGCTTCTTCCCCCCTCAGGTTGGTCTCTGAGAACCACTCACTTGGGTTCAAGTCCTTTCTCAGGTCCAGTCCGGGGCTCACTTCCCACAGAGGTAGGACCCCTCGGCAGGGGGTCAGGATGCCCTTGGCAGGCAATGCCAGGGGGGCATGCAGACCGGGAGAGGCTGTGAAGGCCGCTGCTGAGCATTGGTCAGCCAGGGGTGTGACAGGACCCCAGAGGGGACTGGGCAGAGTGAAGCAGCAGAAAGGATGAGGGGGCCGGGGGGGATCTGTGGAAGGAGTAGCAGGCAGACTGAATCATTCCAGAAAGCAGAATTTGAATCAGCGGAGTGAACTATAAAGAGGGAAGTTTTGGCTCCCAAAAGAAACATTTTCTAGTATCAAGGGCTGTCCCACAAAGGCCTGGGATGCCCTTGGGGGAAGTGAGTTTCCCATCCGCAGCTGCATCGAGGCAGCCACGCTGTGCCGAGCACACGGTGCAGCGCCATCTGTCAGGGATGCTGTGAAGAAAACGGCAGGGGAGTGGGAACGTGACGACACTAGGGGCCCCTTGGACCTGCGATTCTGTGACATTTGACTAGGAAAGGCAGGCTTGCAGACTGTAGAGAGGGGCCCGGAGAACCAGGAAGCATCGCAGAGGACGGGGAGGTACCCAAGGCGCCTACAGACCGCGGCTGGGAAGCAGGAGCCCACGCAGGGCTTCGGGGACACACCGCAGCCCCGTCCCAGAAAAGTCCAGAGAGGCAGAGCAGCAGGGCCGAAGGGAGGCAACATGGGACACAAGCCAAGGGTCAGGGGCCGAGAGGCCAGATGGAGCTTCCAGGCCTTCCCAGGTGAGGTGACAAGGGGCCCCTGCCCAGGGATCAGGAAGCCAGGTGAATGGAATGCCAGAGGAAATCGATTCTGGAACAAGGCTGGACTGTCTTCCAAACTCCGTGGCACTTTCTGCAGCAAGATGGGGCCCTGGTCCCCATGCAGTTGGCCAGGTGCAGAGCAGAGTCCCCTGTCTCAGATGACCTTTGGTCACACGGAGGAGGGCCTAGAACTGCCTTGTAAACCCACTTTTTAAAAGACCCCAAGGACAATGAGGCTTATTTTATTACTGTTTTCTCTGCTTTGCCCCCAAACTTCCTCTTCAAGCAGAACCCCATTGTATCTGATTTGCCATTTTCCAAACAAGGCCTAGGGCCCAGGGCCTGTCCTAGGTCGTGATGAAGCGTGTATATTGATGGAAGAATAGGCTGAATGAAAGCAGGGTTCCCTTCCCTCCCAGCTGGCCAATGAGCAGCTCAGTACAGCCAGCCTTCCTCTCCGGTGGTCACATGAGAGGGAGCCCCCCAAGTTCCTGTGATCAGAGCTTCAACAAGTGCACACTCGCCGTTCCGGTCACAGGGGGTGGTTCAGCCCAAGGGAGCAGGCAAGGGCCAGTAAAAACCCCTGCTCCAGAGGCCAAGGCAGATGAGAAGAAAGATGGAAAGCAGAGGCCAGGGCTGGCCATCTTCTCAGGCAAATAGCACTAAACCTCCACGCAGGCCTTGCAGCTCACGGGATGCTTGCATGTCCCTGAGGACATCTGATCCAGGCAACATGACAACATTGCACGTGGCAACCACCTCGTGAGGCAGGCAGGGCCGGTACTGCCAACATTCTATTTGACAGAGGAGGAAACTGAGGCTCAGAGAGCAAGGTGGTTTGGCCGAGGACACACAGTGCCAAATGATGCCAGCAGGGCTCAAAGCCAGGTCTCCTGCTTCCAGATACAGGGCTATTTCCAGAGGAGCTCATGGGTTCCCATGCTCTTGGCCAGGGGTCGGCAACGTTTTTTCTGTAAGTACCAGATAATCAGTATTCTAGGCCTGGGGGCCCGCTTGGTGTCTGTTGCCGACGTTCAGGACCAAAGCAGCCTTACACAACACTGTGTCAACACCATGTAAGCAAAGGGCCCCAGCTGCCGTCCAGGAAAACTATTTATGGGCATAAACATTTGAACTTCACATAACTCTCCTGTGTCATGAAATATTACTCTTGTTTTGATTTCTTTTCAACCCTTTCAATATGTAAAGGCCTTTCTAAGCGCACAGTCCACACAGAGGCAGGTGGCAGGCGGGGTCTGGCCACCCCTGCCCTCTGTTTTCTTGTGC